TTACTGACATTTTCTGCATTGGGCAACTTGCTGGCCCAACACAAAACACCTGCTACCTTTGCAGGTGAAGCAGTATAACCGTGTTAGTGTACTAAAGGATACAAACTGAAAGAAACTGTTTTCCAGAAGTACTTCTGAATTTGGTGTGAGCACAGGGCCAGTTATGGCTTACGGTTTCTCGACTGTGTCAGGCTGAAGCAAGTCAGATGGCCTTCAGTCAGCTTGTTCCTCTTCGTGACACGTTTTATGTGTATCACCTTCTACAATGTCCTTTTGGGTTCAATAAACTACCCAATCCACTACTTAGTCCTCAGATTCTGTTGAATGAGATTTTTTAAAAAAGTTTTCTAGGCAGCTTCATCCAGCTAGTCAGCTACTGGATTGAACCTGTGAATTGGAGCCTCCTACCATAGCAAATATCCTCATGTACATGTCAGAAAGGAATTACCTCCAGTGCTTCTTTCTCATTTAATTTTAACAACTGTCCTTTGAGTTTTCTTGAAATTCATGGGACGGAAGCTCACGTTCATGTTCTTGGGGGTACCACAAAACATGGCCTTTGTTCTGATGATGATCTAAAAAGTGATACAAAAGTCCTGGATAATATTCACTGATGGGAGGCTTCTCTGCTTCACTCCTCTCTTTGTCACTAGCATCTCATGCTGCAGGTGAGCTGGTTGCTGATGTTGGCAAAGGGAGCTCCTACTGACATGTCACCCATTGTAGAATTCCCACTTGCTGGGGAATGGAGTGCCTGTGCTTTGCTAGTGCCAATGAAATTGCTGCAAACAGTAGGCTTTGGGCTAAAAGCAGAAAGAGTTTAGCCAATTAAGTGAAAAGCATAAGAAATCAATTGCTATAGTTAAAGACAGAGAAAAGTGGAACAGTTACAGTCTTTGTTGTTGCTGCTCATTCAGGTCTGGCTTCAGCACAGTTTCTTTTCCTCTGATTTCTTTTCAGCTAGCAGGCTCAAGCCAGACTAACTTCCAGGGTGAGTGATGGTTCCCTGGAGATGGGATCCGGTCCTTCAGCTACACTCTGTCTTTTAGCAGTTTCTTTCCCAAAATTGATTCTGATTCAAAATGAAGTCACCCCTTCTGTCCTCCCTCCCTATTTCTGCTTAGCATAAATTTACCCACCCAGCCTTCTGCATTTCTGGATAAATCTAACTGATTAAAAAGTCATCCGATTTTGTCTCTAGGGCCATTATCAAAAAGAAGACCCTTGGACTGCATCTTTCAGCTGTGTGGCTGGGCTTATTTGACTTATTTATACAGTGCAATCCCAAGCAGGCAGATAAGAGAGGAAGAGTTACATTGCCAATGGGCTTAAGTGCATAAGCTGTGTCCAGCACAGGACTTCAAAAGTACTTGCTATATAAATGAGATTGATGACTGTGAGTCATTGATAAAATCTGGTAAGTTGGAAATAGATTGAAGGATGATTTGTGTCTAAAGTAAAGGGGCCATAAGCATGGTTTGTTGGAACCAGGTAGGCACAGTGATGGCATTTTCTTTCTTGGATGCATGATTGTACAATGGGTATTAGAGATGTCAAAAATTCAGTCTGAGGCATTGGAATGCTGGAATAATGATAAACTACCTGAAATCCAGATGCATGCCAGTGACAAATTGTATGTACGTGAACCATATTGGATATTATGCAAAACCTTCCTCCCTCAAGGCAAGGTCATACAGATAATTTTGGTGACATCAAGAGATGGGAATGACCACCTAACACTTGTGCTGCAGATGGTGAGCCATACCTACCCATGTAGGTGCCAGGTGTTCTCATAGCACACCTTCAGGAGAAGTGATCCTAGGGAGCCCTGGGCTGCACAGTTCCTACTGCTAGTTACAAGAGTCGACTTTACAAAGCCACTTGGTTTCAGACCAGTGATTTTATTTTAAGATAAACAAGGGATCAACACATCTAACTTTAAAAGTTAAAAATTATTAATATGTTAAATATGGTAAATTTAATAAGAAAGATTGGTTGCTTTTGAGGCATTTTTAGACTTGGTATTTGAAACTGTTGTGCACTTCTGCACTTGTGCACTTTTTCATCAGCAGGAGAGACACAGTCTTATCATTTCATGGCAAAGAAGAATTGTGAAACCTTTTCAGTAGATTCTGAGGAACTGGAATTTAAGTGACTAGGATGTAAAATTTTACTGTCTTGAAGTCTTCTATGTTTAATAGTTGTAAATGTGCAAAAAAAAAGAATCATCTGTACAGTGCTTAAAAAAGGTATAAAAAAAAGATTATTGGGGTCTGGAAGAGTGGTCAGCTGGGTGTTCCTCTGCACAGCTGTTCAGTCAGTCTGTGAAGCTACAAGCATGAAAAGAATTCTTAAAACTACTCAGGTCTGTCAAATAGAAATATCAGGAAGGAAACAGATGTATGTAGCTAACATGGCTGTTCTCATCAGGAGAGCAGGAAGATGCTGAGATGGTATATTTGTCAGCTAGTTTAAAGATTCATTCAAATGTCAAATAATTGAATATGCGTTGGAAAATATTTTTCCCTCTGCAGAGTCCTCAGAAACTTATTTAGCCTGAAATAATCTCTAAATTTGAATAAATAAAAATAAACTGATATTGCCACTGTAATGCTGTGAATAAGGTTGAGTTCATGTGTACTTGCAAGAACTTGTCTAAGATTTCATTATTAGCAGTGCTGGCAAATACTAGACAATGTTGCTTGCCTGCTGCCTGTGTTTATGATGAGTGGAAGCCGTGGGAAGCACAGGAATAGTCTTTCACTAATAAAGTTCACAGGTTTCCTTAACTTAAAATTTTTTTACATTATGTTTCTTCCTTTTGTTCTTAAACGACTATTGCTGTATATTGTTTTTGCTTAGTGGGTGAGGGAAAGGCTGTGGGTGTTGTCTACTTAGAATTTAGTAAAGCCTTCGACATGTTTCCCACAGCATCCTCCTGGAGAAACTGGGCGCTCATGGCTTGGGTGGGAGTACTCTTCACTGGGTGAAAAATTGGCTAGATGGCCAGACCCAAAGAGTGGTGATGAATGGAGTTAAATCCAATTGGTGGCTGGTCACAGGTGGTGTTCCCCAGGGCTCAGTACTGGGGCCTGTTCTGTTTCATGTCTTTGCCAATGATCCCAATGAGGGGATTGAGGACATCCTCAGTAGGTTTGCAGATGATACAAAGCTGGGCAGGAGCATAGCTAAGCTCAAGGGTAGGAATTTCCTTCAGAAGGATCTGGACAAGATGGATGTAGGGGTTGAGGCTAGTGGTATGATGTAAACAAGGCCATGTGCTGGGACCTGCAGTTGGGTCATAACAACCCGATGCAATGCTACACACTTGGGGAAGAGTGGCTGGAAAGCTGCCTGGTGGAAAAGGACCTGGGGGTGTTGGGCAACACCCAGCTGAATATGAGCCAGCAGTGTGCCAAGGCAGCCAACAGCATCCTGGCTTTTATCAGAAGTAGTGTGGGCAGCAGAGCTAGGGAATTGATTATGCCCCTGGATTTGGCACTGGTGAGTCCACACCTTGAATACTGTGTTCAATTTTGGGCCCCTCACTACAAGAAAAGCACTGAAATTCTGGAGCATGTCCAAAGAAGGGGAACGAAGCTGGTGGAGGTTCTAGAACACAGGTCTTATGTTGAGTAGCTGAGGGAACTGAGGCTGTTCAGCTTGGAGAAAGGGAGACTGAGGGAAGGCCTTATCACCCTCTACAACCACCAGAAAGGAGGTCGTAGCAAGGTGGTGGTCTCTTCTCCCAAGTAACAAGTGATAGGACAAAAGGAAATGACCTCAAGTTGCACCAGAGAAGGTTTAGTTTGGATATTAGGAAAATTTTTTTCACTGAAAGGGTTGTCAAGCACTGGAACAGGCTGCACAAGCAGGTGGTGGAGTCACCATCCCTGGAGGTATTTAAAAGGCCTGTATACGACGTGCTTAGGGTCATGGTTTAGTGGTGGACTTGGTGATGTTAACGGTTAGCTTCGATGATCTTAAAGGTCTTTTCCAACTAAATGATTCTATGATTCATAAAAATCTCTTGATGACTTGTTCGATGAGTTGAATGTATTTTTACTGAGAGACTTTTGGAGCTAGACATCTTCAGGACTTTTCTGGAGGATCATTTTGTATCCTGAAATCTAGAAAACTAGTCAGATAATTATATCTCAGTAAAGCCTTCTATTAATATCTATTCTTGCTGTAATATTTAGACATACTTCTAGAATTCACATAGCCTTTTATCAATTCTTTGTATTTCTGCAGCTTTCAGCGCACAAGAAAATTTCTGGTTTTTTTCCAATTAAAATTTATTTTATTTCAAATTATGAACATACGCTGTGGTATCCTTATGGAACTGTTCTGTAGTTAATTACTATTTATGTATCATCCTAGAACTTTGATTTCTGTGGTAATGATAAAAAATGCATAGTTTGTGGAGTTTCAGTATGAAGAAATATTTTTTGCTGAAAGATTCATGGGCAGAACTCTTAATGGCAGGGCCAGCAGCTGTGGTCCTTGCAGTTCTATTTTCCTGTTCATTTACAAGACGCTAACATGTACAAAGCTGTAAGTCATCTATTTGAAAAGAAAACAGTTTTTAAGGAGAGGCTAGAATGGTTGTCAGCAGTAAGGATTGGTAGTATAGAGAAAAGCATACCCTTTTCAGTTCTGCTGCTGTTTATACTGTATCTGCAGGTAGGTGACTTCACCTGACTCTTAGATTACAAAGTTGAAGTTGTGCTGGGACCAGGTATCTCCAAGAGGTCTGGGTCTGAGTGATGTTGTTTGGAGCTGAGACAGCAGTCTCTACTGGTTCCTATTCCTGGTGTTCACTTTGTGTTTTCTGGTGATTTCCATCAAGATGAGTCAAGACGAGCTAAATGGAAGAACATTGGTACTGAAGACCTGTGGCTTTCTGCCCGTGGTCTAAGTTTAGTTAGCTATGATTTTGTGGTAATGCACTGTTGGAAGAGCTGGCACTGTTTTAACAATTTCTGCAACCACTGCAGCTGTCTACTCAAGGAGATGCCAGCCAGGTGATTGGACCACTCACAGAGGGACAGAGGAGGAACGTGGCTGTAGTGAACTCACTGTACAAACTGCACCAATCAGTTCTGAAGGTGGGCTTCAATATTTGTCTTCTTGCTGTAGCATTAACTTCCATGCTCTGTCATATGCATATTCTGCCACTAGTTGATCAGAACTCTTGACAAATGCAGCCCAATTTTGGGTTAGGAGCTGCACCTTGCTATGCAACTCTTTGAGACTTGACTGGTTTCTGTAAGCACTGCTATGGAACAAATTGTCAATATTGGAAGAGGAGCGAAAGAGATGTTTATAGACAATAAACACATCTCATCCATTGTTTTATGAGCTTATACAATTAAACTCTTTCTGTTTTTTTTTTTTTTTATGTCAAGTAAGCTCTGTCATTGTAGTGGTCATCCTGATAGCCTTTGTCTGCATCTGTCCCAGCCTAAGCTTACCTTTCTCGGAAGGCCCTCACTGCTTTCCCATGATTGTGACCAAACTGAAGACAGGAAGAAAACAGTGAAATCAAGAAAAGCAGCACCTCACTAATATCTGTGTGCATTGTTGCTGTGACCAAAGTCTGGCCTGGAAATATTTTCAGGACGAAGCACAGTTATGAATAATTCAGTTTACTGTCTTAGTGATACAAATAGTTACACAGTCCCTGTAAATTAAAATAAACAGATATAGGTGGTAGCTGTACTTAATTTTATTTAAATCCTAGCCTGATCGGAAAAAAAGATCATGAGTACTCCTGACTGTAGATATGCTTAAAGAATGTTAAAAAATGCTATAAAGCTTATAAAATTTGCTTGGATTTTGCAAACAGATGGTAGATAACTTTTAAGGCTGCTTTCTCTAATGTATTTAGTAATGAACCTCATGTGTCTTAGTGTTGGAGGGAGATACGATTCAGTCTTTGAGTTTAGGACTTATCTGGCTTAAAAATACTGTTGTATAGCATGTTCATAACTGTAAGGAAATGGGTAGAATATTCCTTCTGATCATTCCTTGACTTTCAATTCTAATATCATTGTAGCTGTACATAAACAGCTATTTAACATGTAATATTAAAATAGTTATAATATTGAGAAAGAACAAGCATTCTTTCAAGTATTTGCCATACAGCTTCTTGTATAGTTCTCCATAAATTCTATACTTAGCAGTGGGAGAATACACCATTTATTTTTAGTCTGATTCTGCTAACCCTTCAGCAAAATTTCAGTTGATCTCAGTTGAGTCATTGCCAAGGCAGAAGAAGAGCCCATAGGAAATTTGAGACCAAGGGATTGATGCTGGTACATTGAAAATTCTGTCTGTATAAAGCACATTTGATAGTTATCTATACCTATGTAAACCACTCATTACTAAGTACAACTCGGTATGTTTTTAATGGAAAACTGATATTATGGATTATAATGATTTGTTGAATGTTGACTACTAACCGTTACTTTAAAATTTTTAGGTCATTACCAATCAGAGCTCATTTCCAGCAGCCGCTGAGCAGACAGTCACAACTGCCTTGAAGGTAATTCAGTGTCCATATGCTGCAGGGCTAGGGCCGAGCTTTGCTTTGTTTGTTGCACTTAAAATGGGCACTTATTTGCCCAGGTATTATTTTGTGTCAGTATACGTTAGCCAAAGGTATAAAAATATTCTGAAATTTATAATCTGTTGTATCTGCAGATGCATACACGTTGCAAGTGCCAAATCTTCAGTAGTGTTTGTATTCAGGAACATTCTCATAATGGTCGGAACGCAGATGTCCTCTGACGATGAAAATAAATGTCTTTCTCTGCAGCATTCATACAGCAATAACTGGATCCTTCATCACCCCTTTGCCCCCCTGACACACACATAAAATGATGCTTTTTATGCTACCTGGTGCTTTTCTGGGGGGCAGTGTGGATGGCCGTGCAGCGTTGTGGATGGCAGCCATCCGCGCCTGCCCTGCTGTGCGCTCACCGAGGAGGGGCTGCCTGCAGAGCAACCAAGGGCAGCCTGTGTGTCTGGGCAAGGAAACCTGAACCAGCTGCTTGAAACAAAACCCATACGTTTACAAACTGGGAATGCCAGGTCGTTGTCCACCTTTTTGAAGGAAGGCTTTACATAGAAGTAGTAAACACCCTCATTTCAGTACTTCACTGGTAAAATCAGTGTAAGAGAAATGTAATGTTAAAGCTTTTCTCCTTCTGTTTAGCAGTTTCTAATGCAGAATAATAAAAAGCTCTGTGGAAATGAACTGTTTGCCAAGGTATTTTTGAGGTATGAAAATGCAAATGCTTCTAGTTTCTGTTTCCTTACTTCTGCCTTTTTCGTATTCTATTTTAGGCAGTCCATGATCTAATGGGTAGTGCTGTTCAGCCGTTACTGAACTCTGTAGGAGATTCAGTGGAAGCTATCATCATCACTATGCACCAGGAAGATTTTTCTGGGTAACTAGGAATATTTTTTGAATTTGCCATTGCTTCAGTAAGATGTCCTGTGTATGCATAATAGACTGTTATTGCCACAATGTCCTTGGAGCAAGAGTGCTTATCTGTTGAGGGGAAGGCAATGCTTTATGGTTAATGAACACAGAAGGCTGTATTACACCTATCTATTGGAAGAAATTAATCAGGTAGCATCTGTCTTCTCCCTTTGTCTTTTTTTTTTTTACATAGCTGTTCAGTAAAATTCATTTTAAATAAAAAAATCAAAGCCAAGCAGAGGCTATTTTTTGTGCTTTAAAAAACCCTTTGCTTTCAGAATTTATTTTTGTAGACAGTCTTCAGACCTGTCAGTATTCTTGTTTCTCAAAATAAAGCATATGAGGTCAGATTCAAAATTACACAGAAATTTTTCTAAAGTATTATTTAATATTACATAGTTAAAAAAATATTTTGTATAGAAACCTCAGATTTAGTGTGTTATTCTATTTTCCCCATAGCAGTTTAACTGCAATTTCCAGTATTCTTTATCTGCAAAGATCTTGAGTCCTATCTAAAATTGAGAATTCCTTCCTGAGCATTATTTTGGTTGTTATCTCTGTTTTTGCATTGCTTATATCATCATCAGATGTCCTGTTTTCTGTCTTGGAAATTTAGTGAAAATAGTATCTTTTCAGAGGGGTTTTAAATTTTCCTTTGGCCTTTTTTTTTTAAACAATATTTTACTCTCTCCGTCTTCCTTTTGGCACCACTAGCAAACTCTCCTTCCGGGTGGATAAACTGGTTCCAGCCAAAGGTTAAGTTTTGTTAAATAGGCTCTATGCTCAGGTTCCCAAGTTTGAGAGAGCTCTTTTTCCTGACTGTGATTCAAAGAAAGAAAAAGGTGATTGATTTCTGTATCCTGTAGCTTCTGTGCAGATTCTGTGATAATTAGATGGACTTTATAATCCTGGGTTTGGAGGAATCTAGGAAACTAATTCTATACGGAGAACAGGTTTCAGATATGCTAAGCTAGTAACCCTGTGACATGTGCTTCTATTTTTTGATCCATTACTAAAGTGTCAAGTCAACAACTGGGACATTTAAATTTAGGGGCTGGTTTGAGGTTTAGGCTCCAAACTAGTGGAGGCTTTGCAAGTTGGGTAGGAATGGGGTGATTTCCTTGATCTTGTCAGGATGGGAATGGCTGATAAAGAAGTATTTTTTGACCATAGTTTCAGAAAGAGCTACATGCTCTTTTATTCTGAGTAGAAATGAGACAACAATTCATGCCATGACTTTATGGGGTTGGAAAAAAATTTAAAAGAATTCAATAGGTTTTGGTTATGTATTAAAGATAAATTTATCTGGTCCTCATTTCTTTTTTCTTTGCTATTTTTTTTTTTTCAGATCATTATCCAGCTCAGGAAAACCAGATGTTCCTTGTTCTCTGTACATGAAAGAACTACAGGGTTTTATAGCAAGAGTCATGAGTGACTACTTCAGGCATTTTGAGTGTTTTGACTTTGTCTTTGATAATACTGAAGCCATGGCTCAAAGAGCAATTGAACTTTTCATTCGCAATGCCAGTCTAATAAGGCCCCTCGGTGAAGGTGGGAAGATGCGGCTTGCGGCGGATTTTGCACAGGTACCCTTAATACTGACTTCTGCTTTTTACTGTTACTTCACAGTCTTCACTGGAAAGTATCAATATTTTTGTCCTCATCAAAGTATGAAGAGGCAGTTATAAAGATCTGTGCTTTCCTGTTCTAAACATCCTCTCTCTCTGACAGCTCCCTATCAAGTGACCGTCGCATTTAAATGCAGCTGCCTCTTCACATCTTATCCTGCTTATCTGACCTCTTAGGGACGTCCATTCATACACTTCATTCTTTCTCTCTCTTCTAATGGATTGGTGTGTTGCTTTCTTAATCGCTTTAGATATCACAGTGCCCACAGTGGTTAATCACTAGCTCAGCTGCCTTGCAGTGTAGGAGACAAGCTGAAGAAATACCAGCATCCTGTGGAAGAACTACCCTTTTGGTAACAGAAGGGCAGTTTTCTTCTGGGATTCGCTTTGTGACCTGATTGACTTAACCTGCCTCTCAGCTTTACCCAGCTCTTAGGCTGGACTAAAACACAAAACAAATCACCAGGTTAACATCCACCACGTGTTTTCCTTATTTACTGTATTCAAATTTAATTCATCAATAGTAACACTGTGTGATTAACTTGCCAAAGAACATGGGCATCCAGTAGAGTGGTCTGAAAGTCCCAGTTATTATTATCTAAGTGGGAAAGAGATATTAGCACTAGCTGTCTGCATACTGAGCACTGTTTTTGGCTGGTACCTAACTGAGGCGGAAGAAGAAGGCAAGGAGGGAGGAATCACTGCTCTCTCTGCTCCTGCTTGTGACTGCTTTGTATCTTTTGCTTGTGAATTACATGCTCCTGTGTAAAAGGTTTTTTTTCTTTACTCAAGAGTAGTAAATCTTAAAAAATTAACTGCAGAAGTGAAGGGGAAGTTTTCAGTTGCTTTCAGTGAGAAGGTTCTGCCCCCTTCTCTATTTTGAAGACAATGACATAAAGTTATAGGAAAAAAAAAAAAAAAGGATGTTTGAGTCTTCCTCTCGGAGGAATACAGATCACTTTTGTAATTTATGCTGCAGTCCTGTCATGGTTTAACCCCAGGCAGCAGCTAAGCAGGATGCAGCCACTCGCTCACTCCCCGCAGCAAGATGGGAGAGAGAATCAGAAAATAAGTAAAACTTGTGGGTTGACATACAGATATTTTATATCCTTTAAAGGAAGAAAATACTAATAATGGTAATAGTAGTAGTAATAATAATAGTAAAAGCAATAATAGAATTAGATTATACAAAAGAAGTGATGTACAGCGCAGGTGCTCACCACTCGCCAGCTGATGCCCAGCCAGTTCCTGAGCAGCTTTCTGATGCATTTACGTACTGGTCATGCCATCATATGGTATGGAATATTCCTTTGGCCAGTTTAGGTTAGCTGTCCTGGCTGTGTCCCCTCCCAGCTTCTTGAGCCCCTCCAGTCTTCTTGCTGGCAGGGTGTGAGAAGCTGAAAAGTCCTTGACTTAGTATAAAGACTACTTAGCAACAACTGAAAACTTTAGTGTGTTGTCAGCATTATTCTCATACTAAATCCAAAACACAGCACTATGCCAGCTACTGGGAAGAAAATTAACCCTGTTTCAGACAAAGCCAGGACAAGTACTACAGTAAGTTGTATAAATTTGGGAAATATCTTCACCTGATTCTACTGTAAAGAGCATCTTATTTGAGCATCTATTATAATAATAAGAAAAGTATCACTAGTTCATCTTTTTTAAACATTTTTTTTCCTCATTCTGACATTGGATAGCTTTTAAGTGAAAAATGTGAAGATATGTTTTTCATCTGAGTGTAGGGAGATTAGCATGTTCTTCCCCACTGTGCTGAGTAGAGCTCCTGAACAGACAACTGTACAAAGATAAACGTTCTGATTTCCCTTCTTTTGTACTGTGGAAGAAAAAAATAGGGTTTGAATTCATTCTTGTCTCCTGCCTTCTACTGATGCTGCATCTAGGGGCTGCCTTGTGGGGTTTTTTTCATCTTCACATGACACTATATTTTTGGCTTGTTTAAAAATGGGCTTAAGACAAGAACTGCCTGGGTCCAACCAGCACATACAGCCAACACAAAACTGACTCTATGCCTTTGAGCATTTCTGCACAGAGCTCCTTAGGGTATCCCACGCTGCACAGTGGCTTTATTGTCCAGAATAGCCTGGACACTATGTCCTGTTGCTGGGGATGACAGAAGAAGGACCAAAACATTTTGTCTGTGGAGACTACCTTTTTTACATATATTCTGAGGTGTGCCTGCCTCTCCTGAAAACCTGGTGAGTTTTGGGCACGTACCCTTGATGCCAGCTCTTGGTAGCCCAGCTGGGGAGGTTGTAGTTCCGACCTGGCCAGGAGTCCTGGGCTGATTCACCGAAATGTGGCTGTAAGCCTGACCAGGACTTGTTTCAGTTCCATGCTCTTGTTCCCATGGACATTCCTTGGTCGAGGAAAAGACTTGATTCCTCCAAAGAGAAGGGGAGGTTGCTGTTGCTTTGGGCTGAGGAGAGCAGGGAGCAAGTAGGTATTTAGCTGGGCTGCTGGCTTGATCGGAAGGATAAACTTTTCCAAATGGCCATAAATGCTGGGTGCAGGACTTTTTTTCAGTATCAGAAAGGCACTGCATTGTTGGACTAAAGCCAAACCTGAAGGAAAGGACCTGCCTGGAAAGATGCTTTGTGTGGAGGAGGAGGTTTGTTTATAAATTGTTTTCAGTTCTGCTCTGCCTTTTAGAGTGAGTTTGAATTTTCTGTACTCAACAAAGTTTACGCATTTTAGATGTTCCTGTTTGAAGACTGGCTTTTGAGATCTAAACCCACTTCTGGTGTTTTGAGGTTGGTTGCAACAGAAAAGACCTGGGCAGAATCTGTCCAGAAACTTTGGTTAATTTGAGGTCCTATTTATAAACATGCATGCAGTAAGTCAAATAATCTTGGGTTGCTTCAAATTTTGGGTCTCTCATGTGCTTGTGCACATTCCTTTCAGGGCACTCAGAGTTAGAGGCAGAGCTGCGTTACACTCAGCAGAATAACTTTGGCAGAGAGTAATTTGAAATTTTTGCAGTGGAAACATGTTTTACTGATAAGTTGCCTCAAACAACAAGTGTCTTTGCAGAAGGGAGAAAATTGAGGCTTCAAGTTCTCTTCATTTGGAACTGGATTCGGTGAGGTGCACAACAGCCAATTTTCTTGAGTAAGGCTCAGCTACTTACACAGTTAGGAACTGCTGCCATAATTGTGGTGAATTCTCTGTCTTCTCCTGTTTCCAGTGTCAGTGTTGCATTTTGCTGTCTTGTACATAACAGATACTTCAGCAGTAAGGATAGATGTGCACTACTGTGGCAGCTGTAAACAGAGGTACGATAGACTTGAAATATGCTTGAATATCATTAATATGATTTCATGAAGATCAGTGCTTACAGAAATAGTTTAAGCCCCAGAAAATGTCTGCAGTGCTGCAAGGTTATTATCACATACTGTGATGTTCCTTAGGAGTCTCATTTGAAATATTTCAAGTCTACAGGCTGAATTCACCTCTTTTCATGTTCTCTGTTTTTATGCAGGCAATTGAACAAGATTACTTCTCACTTCACTCCTATAAATTCCTGGATCAGTTTGTTTTCATTTGGCTTTTGTATTTTTAAGGTGACCGTAATTCAGTTTTCATGTATGTAATACCAAATTTCACTTTTTAATTCAGTACTAGTCAGACTGAAAAAAAATGTTCTTGAGGAGGCAAGCAAGCAGCAAACCCTGATGTTTTTTCAGCATTTCTTGGTCTGGGGAGTGTCAGTTCCTTTTAACTTGCTTGGAATTCAGAGCTGTTACAGCACTCACACTTGGACACACTTTGAGATTGGTGGCTCAGGCCTTCCTAAAACCTGATGGAAATGCTGGATAATGCAGGAAAGAGTGAAAGATAAGCAGGAGCAGTTGAGAGATTTATTTAGAAGAAATGAAGAATCTACAGTAATATTTGGCATGGAAATCAGTAGTCTGCTTCATAAAGCTTGTAAAGTGCTATAGGAAAATAGCTGTTTACTAATAGCAGATACAAATCACAAGTGTATCGAAGTAAACTAGTCTAGAAATTATGAACACTAATCTTTATGCTTCATGGCACGAAGGCATGACATAACTTCCCATCTTTTCATAGTAAAGGTATATGTTTGGAGTGACACAGAAGGCAGGAACTACTGGTGGTGCCAAGAACCCCATCTAACATTTTGTGTGATCTCGTGTCACAACTGGTTATTTTGAGCCTGCCTAGTAAACTATTTTTATGGATCTTGTTTGACCAATAAAATTTTTATTGGTCTTTATTTTGTACATACCTTCATATATTTCTTAATTAAGTGTGATTTATAGATGAGACTTTTGGCATTGTTCAGTACTGTGTTCGAACAATTTTGGTGATCCATAGGTCACACTGCCACCAACTCTTCCAAGTCTTTGTCAATAAATTACTGCAAATCATTTTGGTTTACTGAATTTTCCTAGAAAAATGCTAAATTCTAGTGCTGAAGAAATGTTTCTGTCTGCTAGTTAGCCTATGGTCAGAATCTGGTTTCCTGATTCAATATGTGGCATTAAAAAAGCAAGAATATTGGGCATCTTGCTTTTTAAAAATGTAAACAGATTTGTTCATTTGATCAGACATGATTATACAAGTGTGAAAATACTTCATTAAAAATTTTCTTTTTAATTTCTTAGGGAGATGTGAGAGAAGCAGGATGCTGTAATCACACTTGTAGTCATAAGGGCAGAAACTAATAAAGCTAAAATGAACTTAATGTTTAATACTAAGTATTTTACTAGAAGAAAGGAATTATTTTCTGATGTGTGCTATTTTGGAGGTATTAAAGCTGAAAGATTTAGTTAAACATCAGCTGTTCAGAATTGCTGCATGGGGGAGAAATCAAATTGCACATCCCTCCAAGGCCAGCCTCTTTCATGTAATAGTTCAGACCTCTTCTGCTCCTTTGCTGTTGAAGCATTCTGTCCCAGTGAATGGCTAGAAAAAAGCATTTTGAGTTAACATTTAAAAACTTGGCATTCATCTTGTCCAGGAGGAAATGTAATTGCTAAAAATTTAATGTTAAGATTTTCCAGCTGAAAAAACAGCTGTTTAGTAATGAGAGATCTTGAAAATATGACAATAGGCACTAAACAATAACTTCACTATGGGGTCTTTCAAAGCGCTCTTCAATATATGTGCATTATCTGTATCTAGACTACATATTAACTTCACCCTTGGGTTGCTGAGCATAATCCAATTAGAGAAGCCAGCCATGTGATGTATGTTTTTACAATATGGCTAGCCAGTGAATAGTTCAACAGATAATTGATCACCTAGCCATGGGCTATGGCAGGGTCATATGAGAAGAAAAGATAATACAACCTTCTGGGACTTCGAGAGCAAGAATCATTGAGAAGAAGCATATGTTGGGCAGGGGTCTGCCACTGTGTCCTGCGAAGCGTAGCGAAACAACATGAATAAATCACGGAAAAGCAATGGGGTTGGAACCAAGTTAGAAGAGAGGAGGCAGAGTCGTTAGTCCTTCTTCTGTTTTAGGTGCCCCTTCCTTTTAGGCAGGCACATGCACTTCCTACTGCTTTCCTTGGGTTTTGTGTTCATGATTATCCCACATTAGTCAGTCAAGCTTCTGTGGTTGCAGTTGGTTGCTTGGACACCTGATTTATCATTGAATTTAGCCTGGATATCTGAATTTTCAAATCTGGGAGAGAAATTTGGAAAAGAAACAAAAAGTATTACTTACCTTTCAATATGTGAAGTCTGTAAGACATGTCTGTGTGAAAGGCCTTCTATACACAATACAAGTACTGTCTTGAAGACAGCCAAAACCATCACTCGACCTGTAAAATCTCACCAAAATGCTGCAGAAACCATTGTGGCGTGTCATAGCAAAAGCTGCTAGAGTATAAACGTGCCATGTGAATCAACAGTTGATGCAGCTTCAGGTGATGACAGGTAGCAAAACCAAGAAATGATGTGTGCTCAATCCTCTGCCCAGTTCCAGCACCTTAAAACCAGCAGCTGTTCCAGACAAATGACTTCTCCCTGGCACTAACTCCTGAGCCAGTGGTGCTGGCTGACATAAAGCTCAGTGGAGACACAAAACCTTGCTCGGTGGGGCTGCAGAAATGAATGTGATAGCAGAAGGCTGCTGTAACATCTCACTACATCATTTGGCTCAGACAAATAGCTAGAATGCAAGTGAAGAAAACAATCTTAGTTGTTTTGTGAAGTGTAGTTTCTATTGGAGAGCTTGGGTTTTAACACATAGCAGACTAATGTTGTAAATTTAAAAAAAAAAAAAAGTTTCTGTGGTTTATGTACATTTTTACCACATTAGTTTTCACTCATTCCCACTCTTCATGAGTCAGTTTGAGATGGTATACTCTGCTGCAAAGCTTAAAAACAGGTTTTTTCTTTGGCACTAGTACTTCACGAATCAGCCATCTGCTGCCAATAAGTCTATCTAGTTCTAGGAACACTAATAATTTCCTACAGTGAATAAACGTTGAAGATGAACTAATAGACTTTTCCAAAGTAAATTTAATTCTTTAGTACTTGAGACTAAAAATGTTGATTTATGGAAACTGCGAAGTATGTTCAAGAGAAAGAATTTAAATTTGTCTTAATAAGGAATTGGTTAAGCTGTAGAAGGTTTCACTTACATCTCATTACATCATATCATGTTGTGGGAGCAAAACAATAATTTAAAACTTATTAAGCAAGATTATATTTTGCCATGCTGGGATTTCTTTCCCCGCATGAGTACAGTTTGTTCCATGCATCTCTGTTTCCACAAGTCAGACTGGCAGTTTGTTGCTGTTACCAAATTCTCTAAAGAACCTAAAAGAATTATCTTCTCCCTGGTTCTTCACAGCTGCAAGCCCACAGCTCCCACCAGAGCTGGGACACCAGCTCCTGCAGGATATCAGTAGCTTCCAGCTGCCCCTAGCCAATATTGGTGCTTGAAAAAAAGCTCCAGGGAAAACAGTCTTGCTCCCATTTATTTTTTCAGGGCCTGTAGGGTTCTAGTGTCATAATGCAGCAAAGTCCTACTTAGTTATCTCCTCTTTTTGTCTACTTGCTTTTGACCCTACGCAGCTGACCAGCCTCTTGGCTCCCAAGTGTGCTCAGAAGTGTCCCAGGGGATCTGGGGGAACAAGATGCTGAACTTGCTGTAAGCTTCATCACAGTCTGGAGTTGGATCACCCCCCTGCAGAAATCCCTGTGGAGAACCTGTCCTGGGAGCATACACGCAACCTCCCTCTCTTGTGCCGGAAAATTGAGCAGACAGCACAGCAGCTGCTGGCTCCTCCTCAAGCATGGGGCCACTGGCTTCCCTTTTGCATGCCTTTGGCTGTCTGCTGAATAGCGTGCGTGCTCAGGAACTGAAGAGCTGGGTTGTGTATGCTCTTCAGCCCAAGAAACAGGTACCTGTCGCACCTGCACGCTGGAGAGGTGACCTAGCCCTCAGGCTGCAAGGGTTACCAGGGGACAGTGCGAGGGTCCAACCCAGCTGTAGAGAAGGGGCCAGTTCATATCCTAGAGTAGAAGATCTAGGGGCCAGAAGGCAGGAGGGAGCCAGGCTGTTAGCCAAGGCTGCAGTATTCACCTGAAAGTAGGAGACACATTCCTTATTTCCATTTCCTGGATTATTATTCACTTTCTGCTTTGCTAAGTTTCTGCTTAATATAAAATGCAGATTGCAAGCAGCCTGAAAGTGCTTGATGTGGGGCACGTACTCCAAGGTTCCCAGGCTGTGGGAGCGGCTTTGCCCTGCCTGAAGTTAGCTCTGTGGGGCTTTCCTCATGGCCTTTCAGGGTGCCCTCCACTCCTTGTCTGGCGAGGAGGTGTAGGTGCCTGGTCTAGGCCCTCCGGCTTTGTCTGACTGAGTCTTCTGTAGTTGGATGCTCCTGCAGCATGACCCACCTGACCCATGCTGGATGCCTACTGCAGGGCAAGATGCATCACAGTGGCTGTTTCTCTCCCCTGAGTATGAAGAGAACCTGTACATGTTGAGAAGTAGGTGCGATGACTCCCATCCTGCCGGCCTATTTTGAAAGATGCGTGCCTGAAGTATATGGCCTTCATTTGGATTAATTGCTGATTTAATTTCTTCCGGTTTTAGATGAACTGTGGCATCATAGTTCAACACACCATCTTTCTGGGGCTGGAACCCCAGCATAATTACATACTTCTGGTGAAGCCAATGGCCCAGCAGCCAGCTCTCTGAGGAAACTCTACGGCTGGAAAGAGTAATAGTATTAAGGGCTTCACTGTAAATAGTGTATTATAATAAACACTTTGAAACTTGTTCAGCAATTTTTACTTATGACAAATGACAAGTTCATTGTATGGTGTTTTTGATCTTGTTACTTATTTTAGCTCTCATCCTTTGGAACAGCTTAATTGTGCATCATATGGAAATTGAAGTCTGAATAGTCTTTCAATATAAGGATTTTACAAAACATACGTGGAGAATAAAACTTGCATCCCTCTGTTGACTGACACTTCAGGAATGCAAAAAATAAAGACTTACTATGGCTAAAATTACCTATGGGTTTTTTTGAGTGGTGGTGTTTGTATCTGTGCATATTAACAGAAATTTTGCTGTGTAATGTTCGTATTCAGCCTGGGATCTGGAAATGAAATTGTTCTTTCTCGCTTCTGTGTCCTTACTGTGAATGAAGAGCCTGTGGCAGAATTTAGTTTGATGCAATTGATGTAAAAACCCAAGCTGAGTCTGACTCTTGTTTGAAAAGGCAGGTGAACTCCAGTGCTTAAAAAACAGGCAAATAATAAGGGAAAAGCCTTGGCTTGGGCAGTGCAGGAAGAAAAGAAAGAATAGCTTCTTGCCTCAAATTCAGCCACCAGCGAGAAGTCAGTGATTCAGTCTGCAAATTTGGATTATTGGTTAGAGGCAGGCTATTTCAATACCAAGCTTTATATTTTGGGACAGTCTAATTCAAGTTAAAATGCTTGTTTTTATAGATGGAGTTAGCAGTAGCACCACTGTGTCGGCGAGTCTCTGACCTGGGAAAATCTTACAGACAGCTGAGGTCGTTCAGGTGAGTTGCAGTCACAGGAACTAGCATTTGGCAGTATGACCCAACTGCATTTCAAAACTGGTTTATTACCTCCTGTTAGTTCTGATTGAACTGAGAGCTTTTTTGGAAACACCTACCTGCAAATTAGAAATAGATTAAAGTTCTTTTAAATTTTATGCAGAGTATAACTATGATTTAACAATCTTTGTCATGCAAATGTTGGCCAAATTGTACTTTTTTTGTGTTGCTTTCAGTGCAACTTCTGTATGACAGTGAATTCTAGAGTTACCTGAAGTGTTTTCACTGCAATATATAATCTACAGTCCTGTGTTGCTTAATTACAACAGGAAACTTCAGGAAAATTTTACAAACTGAACCTGTGTTGAAAATCTAAGATACAGGCTAATGGAAAAAAAATCAGATGATTGTATCCTAACACAATATTGCTACCATATAGGCATTTTTTCTAATGCATAAGATAAGCTTTTTCTTCCTTTCACAAGTATGTTATTACATTTTTCCAGACCACTGCTGTTCCAGACCAGTGAGCATATTGCCAGTAGCCCAGCTCTGGGAGAGGTTATTCCATTCAGCATTATTCTTCAGTTCCTATTTACAAGAGCACCACCAGAGTTAAAATCACCCTTCCAGGTAATACATCAACCTGTCTTTCCTTTTGAGATGTCCTAAGAAGCAATGAACAGTGTAGTGTGCCCTAGTTATTTTAATTAAGAAGTATTCAAGCTCATACTTTATATGATTTCTTAGCTTTTGTTTTTATTGTGGCAAAGCTGTAATGGTCATTGACTTCATAGTTTGCTTCATTAACAATAGGAAGAACATAACCTGTTTTTAAACAGACTCGCAATTCTTTAGTATTCTGTCAGCTCATAGAAGAAATTGCAGGTCTTATCCCAGACTGCAAATTGCCTGTAAGACGTAGGAAATTGCCTGCTTGGGTAAGACATAGGAAATCTAGATTCAAACCCCTGTCAGAACTGGCCAAATGGCTGATGGAGGAGCTCATCTCTGAGCTCCCAAATAACACACTGGGCTATTTCTCTTAATTGTCTCCAAGTCCATAACTCATTCTGCATCCCTGCAGTATTGAGAGCGCCTCATGATGCCTTCATTTATGTAATCTTTGATTTTGAAATTGTTGTGTGTTTCCTTTCTCACATTCATGTGTAATTGGTGTTTGTGTTTCTCTCTATCAGAGGGCTGAGTGGTCCATTGCCCGCTACTCCCAGTGGCTTGATGATCATCCATCTGAAAAGGACAGACTTGCTCTCATACGGTAAAAATCATGCTTCTTTCTTCTCTACATTTATGGTAATGGAGCAGTAACTCATCTGCACACAAGGACTGTTCTTGAAAAGCAGAAAAAGTGTGCTATAGGAGATGTATTATAAATGCCATTACCCTCTCTCCCCTCACAGGATGAGTTGCAAAAAGGGAGAATATATATAAACTGAACATTCCCCTCCACCCCCTGTACCCAAACTCCACAGTGCCTTTGGAGGGAGCACATAATCCTCTTGCACAAGAAGGAAACCATGCACAATGATGGTTTAAACTAATACTATGTTTTAGCAAAACTGCCTCTCTCAACTGTTAGAAAGTGGCAGATACAGCTGTCCTGTCTTCTGTAGCAGGCAAGAGAAGCTTTGTAGCAGGCAAGAGAAGCTTTGGGAGCTTAAGCAATGAAAATGTAGGTAGGAATTTAAAATTGGAAGGCCCTTGTTATTCTTCAGGAAATCAGTTTGGGATCTTTAGGGAGTGATAGTTACATCAGATTTTAAAAATTTAAATAGGATACATGACTTTATAGCTAAATACTATTTTACGACTTTAAAATGTTATGAAGATTCTTGGTGTTCAAAACAAGCAGATTTTTAAAGTATGTTGGAGAGAACAGATGTGTTGTATGAGCATGACAGAGCCAGCCTGAGGATCCTCAGTATTCAAGGCACAGATGGTCGTTTGGCTCTTAATGCCTCAACTCTTCCAGTCATCTTCTCAGTGTCATGTCCTGACCTTGGTGTCACCCACTCCAGTGGCATGGGAAGGGCTGTCACACATGGCTGCACCAGGCTCACTCTGGTCTGGGAGCCAGCTCTGTCCTTGAACTTCTGCACGTGGATGTTGCCAGCTTTTGCTGAAATCATAAAAGCTGACTTTTAAGTCCAGCCAGCAGTGGCTGTGCTTGAGAAAATTGATCTTTGTCTGTCTGCACTTTTAAGCGGCCAAGAGGAGTCTGTTCTGAATATTTACAGTTCTGGAAGCTGACAGCACCATACAGTCCAGTGTACTGCTTGGGCCAGTTAAGGAAATTCTGTTTGATCCCCAGTACGTGTTAGTAGGATTTATTTCCAAAATTCTAAAATGAAAACTGTGTCTCTTCATATGTGTATTAGAAGATTTTTTGAAAATCATGCATGTTGTTAGTCTAGGTGGGCTACGAAGTGAGGTTTTCCTGACTCTCCAGCCATGACACTTTGCATTGCAGGGGAATAGATAATAAGTGCAGGGCTTATACAGCTGTATATGTAAATTATGAATATTTTGATTGTAATTTCTGTCCTGATAGTACTGGCAAAACTGACAGTATTGAATTTCAGATGTGTTAGGGAAAGCCAAGAATGCAAATCATTTGAGAACTGACAGGATTTTGTTCTCTTCAATCGTGTTACACAAATTTGAAAATGCCGTCCTTAAACTAGAACACATTTCTGCCTTTGCTTGCAATTAAATTTCATCCAGACTGATTCAGTTAATGGGCTTGCTGGTGGTCATGTTCAGACACTGATAAATTGCTCTGACCATGGAGGTATTACAGGACAAGCCTCGGGACAACACTTTTGGTCAGAGAGGGTGTCATCCATTTAGACCAAGTGGCGCAGCTGGAATACTTAAGCTTTTAATTTCAGTGAATCCTTTATTAATTTTGCATGAGATACCACTGTTAAAATATTTTAACTTTGTAATCTCAAGCATATGCTGCTGTGAGGTCATCACTTGGCAAGGTTATCACTTGAGAATTTTACAGACTATGGTCCTTTTGATTTGCACTGTGGAATGCTGGGACATTGCTTGGACATCCATCCTCCCAGGGCATGGAGAGGGCAGCTTTGAAGATCTACCCTTCCCAAAGGCCTCTGTTGGCACTCCAGTGGCTCTTCCTTATTCTTAGTATGCCAGATCAAGGCTGTTTGTCACTGCCCGTGCTTGACTGCTTCTCCATCCATCCCCAGGCCCACTGCTGACAGACGACACTCATGAAGCTTTGCTGAGCCACAAGAATTAACTACACTGGATTTGTCCAGCAGTCTCTTACCTCAGGTGGTTTGCTTGGCAGCATGTGCAGCACTGCATGTCTGGGAGCAAAGAGTTGTGGGTAGCTGACCAGTGCTTGAATGCAGTGAGGGAAGGGGATGGTTTTCCTTGGCCACCTCTATAGGCATTGCTGTATCCATTCACCGTTTTACCATCTCCTCTCATGCCAGTTGGTCATTTCTAAATAGGCCAGTTATCTGTACACAAGGCTGTCAAGCCAATGTCAGTCACTAAGACAACCATGTTCCACTTGGATTTTCTTTAATACTCTACTGGAAGATTTCTGAGCCTGCTCTTCATGAGTCTCATATGAACCTAAGTTGAACTACAGGCGTTTTGCTCATTTGTCTGGAGTCTTTTATCAGTCACTCTCTTCAAGCTTTTCCACCTGCAACTGTTCAGCTCTGCTAATTGAACCTTGGATGTTTCGAGCCTTCAGATCCCTAACCACTGGTCTACATCAGATTATATTTGTTTGCTGCAGATTTGCAAATGGTAAATTTCTGCAACTTCCCTTTGTAATGACAGTGCAATTACTCTACAGTCCTGCTGCTTAGATATTAATTTACTTGTGTTATCAGAAGCCTTACAGCTTCATATTAAAGCTAATTGCAGTCCTCCTCCTCCTCTGTAGATCTTAAACACTTCATTTGCAGCATGGTGTTGATGTTATGAATTAGTAGCATTCTGAGCATCTTTGTGCATTTCCTTCTGCTTGTATTCAGCATGATGGGTGGGATTTACCTGGCCAGAGGTATATTAGTTAGACTCCCTTTATAGTCAACAGAGAGAAACAGGCAATGCTTGGGCTGATTCATCTCATCCTGAAGTAGGTACCTAAAGTAGGTCAGTTGCGTTGTGTCCTGAAAGCTCCATTTTCTGTGTGCAGTGAAGGGAGCGTGGGCCGGGGCACAGGAGCTCTCACAGACAGGCAGCTGCCCTGCGGCATTGAGAGGTAGGTGAGGTGACCCTGCTGCAGGCTTCCTCCCGGAGCTGGGCTTGTGTTGAAAGGCAGCCAGGGAACTTGTTTTCTCCTTTTTAAATTAAGTTTTAAAACTCAACCTTTCTTTCATAAGATAAATCCTGTTAGATGTGGCAGGATTTGAGCCAGCCTGAAGGACGGTTCACCCACTCCAGGGCCCGATTCACATCTTTTACGGTTCAAGCGTGGGTAAACTCCCCTTATTTGAGTTCGCTGTTGCAGAGCAGAGTTGAAAGCCAGGCCCGGTGGAGGGTTCATTTTCCTAACAAGCTCTCGTCCTGAGCCGGAGGGCAGCTCCGACCACTGGCCTGCCGGGGGCGGGGCCACGGGCCGCT